TGCTGGAAGCATCTTTAAGAGACGAAAAGTACAAACAGCAATATGTGAGTTGACATATTTAATTCTTATTTCTTATAGACTGCTAAGATGGCTAGCTAGCTGCCTTCAGAGTGATCCAAAGTTATCACTTAAGGTCATGATGCACCATGTTATAAAACCTGAAGTGGGTTTGAAGTTTACATTCCAGGGGACTTTGACAAAGTCAAGCATTGTGCCTTATGCCTTTTATAAAACAATGAGATGTAAGTTTCATTAATGAAGTAATTAGTTCTCTAGGTTTAATTATGTCGCACTTCTCCGGCCAACTAATGACGACGAGAGAGATTGGTGACATGATGGATAGGGCCACGAAATCGTACTTTCATAATTTGAAAGATCGTGTCCAAAGGTGTAAGCGGAAGCAAGGAATTCAGGTAATATTGCGAAACGCCTGCTTACTTTTATAAAGTGAACGTTTATTCAACATGTAGTAATCACAACATTGTTTTCATTTTTAGGCAAATGAAAAAGATACCAGGGGATATAACAGTGGCACTTATGTAAGTAAACTTTTATAAATGTATATGCTTAGAATGTGCTCAGCACAATTTTTCACCCACTAATATTTTATTTTGCTTATTTCCAGGACGCTACCAGTGGATCGCACTTGACGGGATTGCAGTGACATTGTACTACAGTTTATAAGTACAAAAGTCTCTCAATTGTAAAAATAGATTTCTTTCTGAATTGCGCGGGCGTAGGACACAGGTGATGATAATAAGTAGAAGTCTTTTCGTCCTAAAGTGATGCGAGTCAGTGCTGAAAATGATCTGAAAGGGCTGAAATAAAGCTGATAAGCAAACCGAGTAGGTTCTGATCTACTCCTGACAATGCTTAAAAAAAATACGGTGCTGAATTAGCGCTAGTTATGCTGAAAACTAGCACTGAGTTCTAGTCTGTGGCATTGAACAATTCATTTCCGAAGAAATTCAGAATTTACTTATTTTAGGATGCTAGAATTATTTCAGAATTAATAAATAAAAGAATTTTTCCCCCACATCCCCAGTGGAACATAGGGCTTGAAGCTAGTTATTTGAAGTTTCTGTAGCAGTGTTTAATTTTACAGGATGGGGTTGCTAGCCCCATGCCCAACCTTTCCTCTTCACCAGCTTTACTTCTGGCTGAGTGAGGTAATATTCTTTTTTGAATCACATGCAGTGCTATCGAGGTCTGCGTAATCGGGGTGTTTGAAGACATTGCACTGCTTGTCCATCAGGTCAGATGGGTAGTCGTTACCTACGAAAACGTCATTTTTCGGTGCTCTATTTATTCAATCAAGTATGAAACGATGCTTACGTCTTTTGACGCTTTCGCGTGCAAACTACAGTCGACTAGGACGACTGACTGCAATTGGCAGTGCTATATGTTCTCTGAAGGGCCTTGTGCTTCGCGAGCGCCTCTTGCAAGTCATCTGGATAAATAGTTAAGTGTCGATACGACTAACCTGTCTCAAAAATCACCTCACAATTCTCCATCTTCCTCCTCATAGGCATTATCCCAATTGTCTTGGCTGCAGACAACAAGCTTAGGTCCAAGAAACCAAGAGCTTCGGCATATCACTGCCTCATTTTTCCCATCGATCAGTGCAATACGGCATTTGCCCATTTATTCTGAAAGGAACGGTACATTAGTAAATGAATAACGAAATACCTTAAAATTCTCCTAGTGGAATGTATAGAGAGTTTAAACTCAAACTGATATGCTAGCAAACCCAACCCACTTTGTCGATCATGTCGGCTCTTACCTATTAACCACATTAACTGCAACCGACGCCAATGGAACAACACAAATCAACAATGGCAACAGCTTATCTAGCCGATGTGTGAGGCATTGGGATGAAAACGTTGAAGTGATTTGTGGGTATTGCAATGCATTTATATTTAATTGTGTTAATTGCAACCCATTCAGTGTCGCCTGAGAACTGGCCTGATTTGTATATATCAAGCTTTGTTGATTCGAAAGGCTTGTTAAAAAATGGTTGCTTATCCAAACAAGGTCTGAATTTGGATACATTGCCCTCACCCACACCACAGATAATCCCAGGTACTCCATTTACTACTACGAATCGGTCAGGCGAAACAGTTGAATAGTAAATCTTGCTAACACAAAATGACCCCTTTGCTAAATCAACTGTAACGCATGGCGGGGTTAGCTCAGCAGGTGACTTACCTGCATTTGTAGAGCTTGCAAACACGAATCTTTCGACTTCTCGAGAGGCTACTTCTTTTGCTACCCTGAAGCCACTCCTCACCCTTCCCTTGATTTGGCACAAATGTGACTCATACGGGAAGGCTGAAAAGGTATCCAGACAACCGTGTTCAGAGACGTCCTCAGCTAAATGCTGGAGAGCATGCACATTGTAAACCAACTCTTCAGGGTAGAGGCTGTCGAAACATAGTACATACTGCCTGAGCTGTTGTTTTACGGTGTCGCACAATTTAAGGTGGTAACGAGGATGACATAAAATGTAGACACTCGTGAACAATCTGAGGAAGTTTGCGTATAGTGGAGAGGGTAATAGGTCATGTAATACAATTGGGCCCAAATACATAAGAAATAGCCGGCATTCAGTGGCCTTCCAAAACTGAAGAAACTCCAAGCTGCGAAACTTCCTTTGGAAGTGCTTAGGAATGCAGCTTTCTGCAGCCTGTAGCCTTTCGTTAATACAAGCAATTGTTTCATTGCTCAATCCGAATTGGCGTTGTTTTGCCAAACGCAACCATATACCCAATTGCCGCCTAACAACACCTAAGCAGACTAAATGCATATAATCTAATGGAAAAATCTTAACCATATCAATTGGAAGTCTCTCAAATACTGATGTATCACGGTGGTAATCGGCATCTTCCTTACTCCTAAAGCTATTGTGTGTCCTGCGACAGCTGTTAACATCCTTAAATACCATACGCCGGTTTACATAGTTGCCAGTAACGCAACATCTGTCACAACCTTTCCTACTGTTGTGACTCGCTGTAAAAGTGATGCCAGATCTTGCAAGCTTATCGCAGATAACACTGTTAAGCCGGAAGCCGATATCTGTCTGTCTGTCTGTTTTCGACATAGAACTTTGCACAAATGTGCGGAAGTTCAAGTCGCCACATTCCGTGTAGCACGCGAAGCAAGAGAAGTACAAGAAAAGCATAATAGAAACAGTGAGAAGAGGTGTGAGACAAAGGAGTAATAAAGGAAGCCGATATGCCTCTCATTGATTTGTAAACCGTGTGCATATAAGTGCTCCATGTCAGTTACAACTGGCAATAAAAAATTATTGAAGTCAGACGGTTTATGAAAACCACCATAGACTCCAATAAGAAATATATCACTAAGAAACGGTTTCACCAGTCGACCCAATATTGGTCAAACTTGCTGTGTACCATTGTTAAACAATGACAATCCATCAACATTCAGCTGCAGATTAACGCAATCAAAAGATGCAAACTGACACCAACAACTCAGTATAGGCGTAAGTATACTTCGCAAACCAATATGATAGTAAACTCCACTACCAATAACAGTTGAGGGGCATGACTAGCTAGTTTTGAGAATGTGTCTTATATTTGTTGGTAATCTTGGAATATGCCGTTTGAACAATCACATAATCTCTCCACCATCAACAATGGATGTTTTAGTGGTCATCATAAGCTTTAAGGCAGTCCTCCTAAGTTCTGCCTTTGAATTGCGTTCTTTTGCCTTATCGGAACGTATCTCATGGGACAACAGAGCGCCCGCAGCATTACCTTATCGAATAGTCGTCACATGAAATACTAAGAAACCAACTTGGTAAAGTGATTTGCATGTCAATTTGCACGTTTACGACGCTACAAGAAGTTTCATCTACTAGACATTCACCAGCCTCGACGCTGAAATCGGGAAGTATCATCTTGGCTACGTCACCGAGCAACTCCTATTTCAATCTCTTAGTTCTTCTATACAATGTGGATCGGTGGCCTGTCTCTTTTACAAATAAACCTAAAGCACAAGGCTATATTAAAGAGAATAAAGTACTTCTAAGACGTCTAGGGGTATTCACATTACTACAACTTGCTACTACTTCACTTTCAGTATCCATTTTATTACCTTAAAAAAGACTACTACAAATACTTAACTCACTTAGTCAGGGGTGCAGGACGGGGAATTTGGAATCGCGGCTTCGGAAGTCAAACTTAAGTTTGGATTCACATAAACAAACGTGTCAAAATGATTGAAATGAAATCATCACCATTTGTCTTCATGCCACTTCACAATGATTACAGACACATTGTATAATATTCAACCTGAAATGTTCCTCACCTCATGCATTCCCCATCTTAGTATGACTGCGCTACAAAAACAAATCCACCCCATTCTTCCCATGTTTCCCCTGTTTCCCAAAAAAAAAACATTTCCCACGTCTCCAGAAAATAGTTGCCCACTTTACCCATGTCACTTGACCAACTAGCCCACTTCTTCCCACTTTACCCATGTTACAAACGAAAACAGCCCACTTTATCCCACTTTGCCCACATTTGAACGGGAAACTGCCTACGTTTTTACCCACATATCCCAGGTCCAAAAAAAAGTAACCAACTGAGAAGCTGGGGTCGGTCCGCGAAATTTGAGCTAACGATAGAGCATCCTGGAAATTTCATACTTGTAGCAAAAGTGCTGTGTGGAATCAAGCTATAATTAAAATGGAAAATAAATATGAAATATACTCTGTCCACTGGTTGACCATAACTATCAACGGCAAACGGAACGAAGATTAGGTTGGCGCGTAACCTTAATGGTGACCCTAATGAATGGTCTGGCAGCCTGTCGACGGACTTCGTCTACCCTTCATTAAATAATTTTCCCTGTTGTCATCTGTTTTCTTTTGCAAAGATTACTTAGATCCGTGATTATGGGAAGCTGTTAATTTTTTTTTGTAATCGCTAATATTGATTGTGTTTCAAAAAAGAAATCGTCTTCATGGTTTTTCACAGCTAACTGAATCACCTGATGCACAGCGACTACAAGCTGTTGCTAATGAATTACTGAATGTATTCACTGAACAAAACTTGGTAAGCAATGGTCCATACCGTCCAGATAATTCTGTGAAGCTACACATGACTCTCTTGAATTCTAAGTATCGACAAGAAAGAGATAGTCAAAATGCATCTTCATCGCATGGATTTTCGCCTAACGCTGCTCGTAAACCGTTCAGCATAACAGGGATTATGAAAGTTGCAGGGGATTTTTCTTTTGCTGAAAATCAATCCTTTGATCAACTTTATTTGTGTGATCGATTATCATTCGATTCTACTACTCAATTCCATAAATGCTGTTGTAAAATTGAATTCAGTAATGCCTGTGATAGTGAGTGTGTACGTGTTGTGAAAGTATAAACGGATCTATCTTCTTTATAACATTTTTATTTCATCTCTCTTCGTCAGTCGATCAGTTTCATTCTTTCTTGATTGGTTAACCACAATGGTCTTGTAAATCCTATTATATTTGCTTTTAAGTAAATGTTTTTCTAACTTTGTAATTGCCTTAACTGTTGGGAGAATCAAGTATATTCATAAGTGACTCCACTTTCCAGTCCTCTTCTTTTTTTCAAGAATTAGTCTTCAGGGATTCTATTTGTTTCAGGTTAGACTATGGATTGATATCAGTTAGAGAACCATCAAAAACCAGGGAATACTGGGCAGCTGTTTCATCAGTCTACTTTGAGACTCATCGGCAGTAAGCTTGTTAAATTATTTGTCTAATGCCATTGTTTATCATTTCAAAAATAAGGATGTTATTCAAAGCGGTAGTAAAAAAGAATCTGCTTACAACCTGGGTGAAGAGCTTCATCATTCGAGATGACTAGGCACACGTGCTTCGTGTCCAAAGCCATTGCCTTCCTCGTCAAACCATGTTAGTCGACATATGACCAGGTTGCTAAAAAGTGTTAGGGATGGTCATATCAAAACTTCGCATCCATCCATCAAGTCTGATTTTTGTTTTGGGTTATGTAGGAGAGGTGTAGACGACTACCAGGTTTTAGACCTCGAGATTCAAAGAATTAGTTGGGTGGAGACTACTGTTAAAGATATGGCTCGAAACCCCTTTTCCACGTGGCACACAGATGCATTCACTCTGTAGTCTCCTACATCCACTGGACCTTGATGTTTTTCCACGATACTCTTCCTCCTGTTGTGTACCTTTGACAGCCCATTATCGTTATTTGGGATTTCTATCACTTTTCGCTACCTTTGTGTGCTACATATGGAGTGTAAGAACTTGAACTGCTTCACTCATGTGCAAAGTTTCACGTTTAAACTCAGTCAGACAACCAAGTTGATGAAAGTGAATAGTTTTGTTGCAGTGTGGATAAATTTTAGTTTTTCCCGGTGAAACAAAATGTCGAACAATCATTATGAAGAGAAATGGTATATGCAGACGAATGTTAATGTTAAAGCGGTAAAATATAACAAATCACTGTAATAATATAACTGAATAACTGGGTTTTCTCGCAAACAATCAACGGTGGTAGTAAGGAGATATTCAGGGACAAACATCAAAGTGTGGTGAGAGCAGGCCGCTAGCCTTTTGGTAGACATTGATTTACGTCAATGTCTACGTCACTAATATTGGCCGTGAGAAAATATGAACAAGGCTGATTCAACAATCGGTCACAGCAAACTTAACGTGGGCAAATAAGATTCGCAGATATATGGCTTAACTTTCCGAGAAACCAGAAGCAACCAATCAGAAGACTGTGTTTGTCAGCTTGAATAAGCTATAATAATGTACATTATATATATATATACGTGCTGATTTCCGTAATAAAACGATCTGTTGCCAGCCCTTGTCTTCTGTTGCTACAAAAGGATTTCGAAAATAATTAGAAATTACTAATAATAATAGAGAAGATTTGTAGCTCAGGCGGATGATTTTTAATAATTGTGTTTTCAGAGCTGGTTGGTTTAGTTGCGCTGAAGATGTTGTCCAGAGGCACGACGAAAGCTCCACAACTAAACCAATCAGCTCAGAGAACACTACTAATTACAAATTGTGAATAAACAAAATCAAAACAAGTGATTCAGCGACGAGATTCTTTTCAACGAATTTATCATCAAGCTGTACAGTCGTATATATATATATATATATATATATATATATGGTTTTTAAGAAGTTATATCCGGTGAGGGAACTAAATCTTAGGTGTGAATGCATACAATAATAATACTAATAATATGAAGTTCAATTAAAACTAAAATGTTTGTGATTATAATCATAGTTAAATGTCAAGTGGCAAAGCAAATTATCTGTTTGCTGCTGCCAACTTCGACAACTCTCTATCCGTTATTACTGGGGATTTCAACTCCTCAGATTGCTCCTTTCTTGAAGCACTTGGTCGCACAAACATAGTCAAATTACCCACTCGACTTGACAAATCACTCGATCTAGTTTTTACTAATGACGAAGGAGTATATGAAACACGTAGGCGATCATCGATACTAAACTCAGATCACTGTGTAACAAAAGAAGACAAGGGCCAGGCAACAGATCGTTTTATTACGGAAATCAACACAAATTTATATATATCTCCTGTACATTATTATAGCTTATGCAAGCAGACAAACGCAGTCTTCTGATTGGTTGTCTCTCGGAAGTTAAGCAGACAAACGCAGGCTTCTGATTGGCTGTTTTGGGTAACATCGAAAAGTGGAGCCATCTGTCTGCGAATCATATTTGCCCACGTTAAGTTTGCTGTGATTGGTTGTTGAATCAGCCTTTTTATATTTTCTTACGGCTGAATATTAGTGACCTAGACATTGACGTAGATTCATATCTACCAATTGGCTAGCAGCCTGCTCTCACCACATAACTATCAGCCAATAGACTAAAAAAGGTGTGGGGATGCGTCTACCGGGAATTAAATCTCAGAACACATGGATACCTGGTGAGCATTCTACTCCTGAGCCACAGACTCATCATAACTGTTTGTAAGGTTCTGAAACTACCCACTCATTCTAACTACAAGTCCTCATGATTGAAAGTATATTGAAAACGTCAGGTCAGTTGACTTCAATAGCTATCTTCAAATGACATTAATTTTGTCAAATACGCTGACGACCTGACTGTATCTTTGCCTGTCAAATGTCAAAGTGACTGCTCTAAACTAAACGGCTTTTTAGCAGAAATTTAGCTAATGGTCCAAGGAAAGTGGTCTCACCTTAAACCCCTCCAAATGCCAGAGTTAATTTCACCTTTAGGCACAAACCTGACCTAAACAAACTGGTTAGCACTCACGAGATGCGCAACATTGATGACACTGAAAGTGAAACTAAGTCAGAAATTAAATACCTAGGCTTCATTCTATCTGCTGATCTTTCCTGGTCGTCCCATATCTTGATTTCTAAGAAAATATTCCGTCTTACCTTCTACATCAAGAAGTTAAGACATTCTGGTATAACCCAACCCTTACTCCTACAATTCGTCAAATCCCGTATTCTGCCTATTATTCTCTATTGTTCCCCCTTAGTATTTCCTGGGCTACGCAGGATGTTAAAGGTTGTCAGCAGGGAAAGCAACGTGCCACTTAACCAGCTTGTTAATATTCTGGTTGACAGGCACTTGGACTCATGTAAAAAATGGGCTAAATCCACACCCCCTCTTCATTCACAACTCTCCCCTTGTATCTCTTCAGGCAAAACCAGAAGCCTGTATAGAAAACTATACGCTCGCACTAGTAAGTACAAAAACTCAACCATACCCTACTTAGCTCGTGTTCTGTGCGATAAAGAAAGCATTAGACGTGAAACCTTTAACTTATTAAAGTCAATAGAACAACTGGATCTCGTCTTTTCAACTCATATCATTTATAGGTACAACGTTTTCTTTCTTTTCCTTTTCTATCTATCTCTTTTTCTGTTATGTGCAGCTTTGTTTCTTTCTTCTGTTTGCGCCAGTAAATATGCTAGAACCTGATTTTCCAACACTGTTTATTTTGGCTTTGCTACCGACATGCTAATATGTTGTTGTCAAAACTGAGATTACCTTAATCTATGTAGAACTTTATTTATTGTTAATGTACTAACTGGATGCAATATTGTACTAAAATGCAGAGAAATCCATTCTGTACCACAAGTACTGTTTTGGAATAAAGCTATTATCATTTATTCATGTCATATATAGAATAATTCATAGGATGAATAGAACTTGAGAAAGGATGTGCAACTATAGGATTAGTAGACAAATCGAATAAAACAAAAACGTCACGTAATATTGTGTGAAATTTAATAGCATAGAATTTATCGTTATAAAAAAGAATTGATTTGGAATGACAAGTGGAACAAGTGAAATAATACCGGGGACAGTTCAAAGTGAGAATAGTAATAATAACAATTGACGTAATAAGGAAGAGTATACAAATTGAATAGACAAAATGAAAAATTGGTAGAGCTAAAATATGATTGGGGATTACCATATTTTAGCATAGAGGGATTAAGACCATGAAAGTTGGAGGGGTTGAACGAACTTTTTCTGTACACAGAGATCTGGCTTTTTTGTTTCGATAGCCAAAGCTTCAGCAATACAGATGAGTCGGATACGTAGGGATTCGGGTAAATTACTCTTTGCCTTGTAGATGACTTTAAAGGCGGAGGCTATAGAGATAGGGTGATCACTATCGACCAGATGTTCAATGATCGCGCTTCTTATTGCTCCACTTCCACCTTTTTGTAGCCATGCAGGATAGTGTTCTTGCACTCTCTTGAACAAAACTCGAGTCGAACGACCGATATACCTAGCTCCACACGAGCAGGTGAATTGATAAACAAACACACACAGAGTTAATCAACAGCGGGATCTTGTCCTTCAGGTTACCGAACAGTAATGGTCGGCTAGGAAAGGCTATTCTCAGAGATGCAGCAGGGAATGTTCTTTTCAGGGACTGTGATATCCTTCGTTTCATGATATCGGAAGCTAAGTCCCCTTTGAATTCCAAGCTCATGTGAAGTATTTTCTTGGGAACGGTTGATAAGTCACGTTTTGTAGGCTTTGAATGTATATTCTTATCTATAAAACGTGGTGGAAATCCATTTTCCATTAGGATTTTCCTCAAAATGTATGACTCATCTTCCACAGTATCAGTGCTACATATGCGCCGAATACGAGTGGCAGCGACCGGACCAGGTTTCGTTTTCGACTAATAGGTACCCAGCTGTCGAAATTTGTCAGTTGACCATTCAGATATCTATACAACACAAAATAATCGAGCGCTTCGCTGAGCCTTGCGCTATACTTCAAATACTCGTTGAGTACTTTTAACGCATTCCATGACAGCTTACGACAAATCGATCTCTTCAGAGTTCCATCGATCCTTCTTGAT